TGAGACTGGGGGGATCCCATGCTGGAGTAAGATCCGGATGGTGAGTTAAAGTACGCTAGGTTGTCCCCGGAGGGAGATGCAGTGCTGCAGCGGGAGGAGGAATCGCACTCCGTGTTGAAAGCGGTAAACATCATATTTCCTCAACAAACAAGTAGGAAGATCCAAATGAACGAGGAAATGTGAACCGCGAGGATATCCTTTAAAAAAAAAGGGTTTGCGAGGAACTCTCAAACTCAGCTCCCGATGTTTTTTTTTCCTTGTAGTGTCACTCTGCTAGTAAAAAGTTTGAATGCCACCTCTGGCAGCTCGGAGCGCTTATAAAGGTTGAGACCGCATCGTCAAATGACGTAGGCAAGGAGGAGCGCTCCTAAACCGACACCGCGGGGAGAAAACAACAAAACAATTGACATAACAACGCAGAGAAAAAATAAAAGTCTAACTCGCACATAGTTTGAATGCACTGAATAGTCAATATTAACTCATGTTTTCTGCTGTTATACGAAAAGGAACGTTTACAGATAACATTTTTAAACGTGCCTTCAAGAAATGGAATATTCCAGAAACGGTATCCCCAACACGTCATTTTCCAAATATGGTGCATCCTGTAAAATGGGCGGACCTTGCTGGGAAATACACCATCCGAGTGGCCGACAGCGACATGACGTTATCCACGACAACAAACACCAAGGCTGTTAAGAAAACTGAAGAAGTGGGACAATGGTCAGCGAAAGTACATCCTACACACCAAAGTAGCCTACATCAGAGGTAAATTTGAACATGCAGATTTGTCTGTTATGAAATACGAGTGACAAACATTGAATATTACACATTAGAATACCCTACCACCTTAGCAATGAACATGAGTTTTATCTCATTTAAGGCCGATTTTATTGCATTTATAGGACTTTACTATAGCTCTCCGTGGAAAAACTATAAAGCTACCGTGAGTAGGCTAAATGCTGCATTTTCTTTTTGACCTGTTCATTTAAATCACCCAAGACAAGATCCAGTATGAACCTAATATTTTGCTCACACATTTTGTCACAACACACAGAATTAAAGTGTTTCACATATATAGTGTGTACTGTTGTCTTTGTCTGTACAACAGCATGTTAGATGTCCACCATGTAAGAGGGTAAAGATACTTTCTCAAGAACCAGGCTATATCAGGGTCTCCAGTTCTCCAGCAGTACCTCTTGACTTGCACAATTCAATCCTCATACAGGTAAACCTCCAGACACAAGCCTGTTGGATCCATCTGCCTATCTGTCGGAGCTCCACCTCTTATCTACAACTCCACCTGCTGTCACTTTAGTAACATAAAACAAGGTCACAGCCACTCTGAACATCAGCTGAGCACATTATCTCAGCAAAACCACACGTGCCACTGTTTCATCACCTCCAGCCTGGTTGAGCAGAAAGCCATTAAGCAACACCAATATGAGGAGGATTCACAACTTAATATTACTTTTTAAGTTTTCATTTAAAGCCACAGAAACATCTGTAAAGAACATAGTCTAAAAGAACATAATGATTATGTCTTTATTATCATATTTTTTGTCTTATGTTTAACCCCACAGCTTTTTCATATAACCACTCAGACATATGAATCATGTAAGGTTGTATGGAATTTAAATCAAATGCATATTGTTGCTAAATTCATAATTAGAATAGAATTAAGTGTTGATTACATATTGGAGATTAACAAATGTTTTTGCTATCTGTGTGTATAACTGCTGAGAAGCCTTTTGTAACTGACAAATGTCCTGCAATTTGCAAATACATTTCTTTATTGAAAGGTGTAAGAGATTGTCAATAATTTGCCTCAATCCAAAAAACACATGACGTACTGATGTGTACATGATGTTCATCAAATTATGTCAGTGCAGACGTACTTACTTGTGTACTTTGCCCTCAGGCATTTCTTGTAAGCCTACCTTATGTCTGCAATACAAGTTTGGGAGTGTTTTGGTTGCAGACTGAAAACCGGTTTGTTATGTGTACTTTTCCATTTCAGCTTTGCAGATGTCTAGGCTTGATCGTAAAGGCCTTTCCCAACATATGTGGTTAGAGGGAATCCTCATGCCTCTCCATTAGAGATGTACACAACAAGCAAATTAGCAATGACCCAGCAATCAGACTTGATATTCCTTTAAAAAAAGTAAAAACTGACCCACTTCCATTCTGTGGGCCTATCACGTTTTACTGTCAAAAAATCCACTGTCCATTTTCTGTTGCTCTTCAGGGCTTTGGACTAGCAAAAAGACCCCAATACAGTTTAGTAATGTCAACAAATCTGTTTTAGAGTTTTCATAATTTTTACAAGCTACTTTGGGCTGGCCACAACAGACATTTTCCAGTTGCTTCTTATTTTTCTATGATTTTTAACTATTCTGGAATGCAATTTTTTTATCAAGTGGCCCTTTTTACAAGGTCCTTCTACAGGCTATGCTGTTGTTAAAAATAAAAAATAAGTCCTATTAAAAGTCTTTACATTCTATCTATAATTAGTTGTGTCTGTGATTATACGCAAGGGCATCAATGTAGGTTAAAGGACGGGAGCTCCGGTTCCCGCGCTCCTGTTTTGTTCAACATTCTTGGTTGCCCGAGCAACACTCCACCCCTTCGCGTCAGTGACGTCGTAATTTTGCCTAGCAACAACGATCGTGTATGTTTGTGAAGACGGCTCACTCAACACAATAAAACAAAGCCGGCTCGACGGTGTCGTCTCGAAGTTACGTCGGCCTGTCGCCCGGAATTTCTGGTTATATGAATCAGTAGCAGAGTGAGAGCTCTGTTTCCATTTTGTCTCTCATAGAGCGATCCCTCAACGTTGGTGTTTGCAAAATGAAATAGGAAACACACAACAGTTTACCTTGTGTATTTTTTTTTAATCACTTTATGGTTGGCAAGAACAGCAACTTCCAATTCTGCAGTGCTGAGTCTGACCTGTAACCTAGACTAAGTATTTTGAACAATATGTTTTAGTTTAGTAGGCTATCTTGTAGAAGAGATGGAAAAAAAAGAGATTGTATGTATCTGCTCATAGCCAATGGCTTCAAAAGTAATTTCTAGCCTGGCTTCTAATGGCCACGATATTGTAAATAAATAGCCTAAAACAAAAAATGAACATAGCTATTTAAATTAACGCTCCAGAGCAACAAAGCAGATGCTGACACGGATGAGCTTATGTTAAACATAACTTTAAATAGCCATATGAGAAAAGGCTGTACAACATTTTACCCTCGGCTACACTCATAGGGTTTTATATTTTTAAAGACCTTTTCACAATTTTAAAGTAAAGCTTATGGTTTCATTACACAGTAGCAGAGCACAGCAAACCTAAAGTGATATATTTGCCTCATTTACATGAACTTTGAACGCCGACGTCACTGACGCTATAAATAAACGCCGCTCTGTGCACGTTCACGCTCAGGATGCTTTGGTAAAAAACAAGCCTTTGTGCTGTATGAGGGGTGTTAGCAGTCATGTTCGACCTTTTAACCCCTTTGGTCTTGAGCCGCTGCATACTGAATGGGCTCACACGGACCACCTAATGATGTGCCAGTAAATATGGCAGAAGGGGGCTGGGACTGTCGGGAAGCCGGGAGCTCAGCAGCAGCCCCTCCGAGCAGGGAGAGGCCCCCCTCTATTCACTGTCTTTCGCTTTCACTCCAGTGGATCTGTGAAGTCATCCTCACCTAAATATAGCATATGCAGCTTATACAATCTCTTTTCTCATAAGGCTCACACTGGCTTTGCGGGAATAACGCTATAGATGCCTAATTGGGGCCAATAGGCTATGGGCTCACGGATTTTTATTAGAGGGAAATGGCCAGAATATGCTCAATCGACGAATTAGCCTCCCTGATTAAAATAGGTTAATCAGCATGAAACCATGAGTATAATGCTGATTTACAAATGCATTCGCAGAACTAAAGCCCATTTGTTTTAAAAAGTGGTATGCCACCTTTCAATTCACGCACAAGTTGGGTCAGCAGCATGGGTTTGTCCTCCTCTTCATTCCTGTGTCCTCAACACGCATTCCCTGACGCTGTCATCAGGTGCATTTCATGACGGGACAACCTTTTAGCGCAGGTTTCACTTTTTCTTTTGTAAAAGTGAGTGAGTGGGCCAAACATAGTCTCACACACTCGTCCATCGGCGCGCTCTCCCTGCGCAGTCAGCGCGCCCCCTTTTCTTTCCGGAAACACCATATATGGCTCGACCAGTCTAGTCGGCGATTGGCTGCTACCGCGACAATTCTGTTGCTGAAGCTGTATTCATAAGCAGAGACAGGTGAAAGGCAATGTGATATCAGGATGACACTCCATAGAGATGATTAGCAGCTCATAATTAATCAGGCGGGGTGCAAGGAACTGTGAAAAATGAAAAAGAATCATGCTGACTTAGGATGCAATATCCCCCCCCCATAAAGAAATTGAGGATGTTTTATGCCTTCTATATTATTGCACTGCAGACGTTACAATGTTTGCTCGCATTTTTGTTATAGGCTATGATTAAACAGCTGTTTAAGCCCAATTGTTCATTAATTTGTTACATTGAAATAATCTGTCATCTTCTTGAGAAAAATATCTTTTGCCATGCGGCAGAAACATTTAGGTACATCGTGTGAACATATGAGGACACAGAGAGAACATCACGTAGCCTATATGATGCAGATGCTGCATACATGATATGACGTAGTTCATTCAAGGCGATGGGCGCCTCATGCAGCGGGGGTGTCACTGAAAACGTACTCGCAATTTTTCTCGATAGACCTATTTGAGTAATAGAAAAAGCTTAAATGAAAATGCTGATGCTGTTGATTAATTGACTGATTGCTTTTTATTTAATTTCATTTAAAAAATAACCTGCTGTTTCCCCCCTTACCCTTCCCCGTGTGAAATGGTTCAGTCTCACCACACAGATTTCATTCATAAAAATCCGGCTCACTATAAAAGGCGGGCCTCTCCACTATCTGCACAGTTGTCCTTTATGAAGCTGGCAAATGAAGCAAGAAAGGCATTGAAGCGTCACCTTTTTCGCTTTAGAATAGATATCCTGCACTCTCTTTTTCTGCAGAGATGTTAGACCAGAATATGCATCCAGACTCCAGCACTGAGTTCGACTCTTCGTCCAGCTGTAGCACAGCATCGCCTGGCGGGGACACCCCTGGGTGCAGCCAGCATCCTTCTGACTCGTTTTCATCATCAATGGACAGCGACAAGGTACAAGTGGATCATCTAAAGAAATAGGCTAATCCTAAAAAAAAAAAAAAATGTGCAGGATAATTTAATGCATAAGGATAATAAAGGGTGCAAAAGGCTTGTGTGTTGGTATAAAATGTTCACACATTTCCATGTAGGCTTCATTCCAGACAGCCTGTTCTTGAACATGATTACCTTCCCGTGCTTATAGGCTTCTTTACAAATACACAGACTGAAGAGTCTCTGTGTCTGCAGCGCAATAATCAATGCAATGTACACATACTTATGTGACCTTTATAGCCTAACAAGAATTATGTTATGATGATGAGGATTTTATGTTATAGCATGTAAGTGGTTTTGATGGATGCAGTGTGGATTTTGTCTTTTTGGCATTCCTCAGCCAAATGGTTGATGTAGGCTACCATTTAACAATACCTAAAGGTCACCATACGGACATGATTCCCAAGTCATATGAGCTAAATTGGTGTTTGACAGCATTCATATATTTTATTTTTCTGTGATCTTTGCTCCATCAGGACATTGATACCAGTGTAGCAGACTCCTTTGTTCCGACTGTGACTGCAATCTCAACCTCGCCGGATCTGAAATGGATGGTGCAGCCGACAGTCATCACATCTGTTTCTCCGTCCGACCGTGCGAAGACCAGAACTCAAAGCAAGAACCAGTCCTCTCTCTCGGGAGGAGCAAACAAGGCAAAATCCTCCAACAGGAGAGGACTGAAAGATAAGGTATGTCAAATAGAAGAATTCAATTAAGTTAAAAAAAAAAAAAAATCAAAGACCATATTAGAAAATAAATGTCAGTTTAAAAAATACACACATCTATCAATCGAATTGGCCTAGTTAATAATCAATCAATCAATCAATCAATCAATCAATCAATCAATCAATCAATCAATCAATCAATCAATCAATCAATTAACCAATCAATTAACCAATCAATTAACCAATAATATAAACAGAAAACAAAATGAGTCTTTTCTGCCAAAGACTTAATTAATCTGAAACTTAGACGTGAGTTATCGCGTTATTTTCAACATGGCACGAAGGAGGGTGTGTGTTAATGTAACGTGCACGTAGGGCGTCCCGGTGTAATAAGATCACCGCTTGTAGTAGTGACAGCACAATTACTTTTTGCAATAAGGAGTGCAGCGATGTTAAAGATGAGGACGGTTAATTGCATGAACGTGCGCGTTCACGTGCCTGACTGGACCGTGCCAGTGTTGCAGCATTTTAACGCCTGAACTGAACGGGAGCGTCTGCACCGATCAGTATTCCCAGCATATACACTGCGACGAAGATTTTTCTTCTTCACCTTTTTTTTTTTGGCGAGAGGAAAGATGTGGTCGAGCCAACTGCTGATATGGCAAAAAAAAAACGAAGCAGAGTGCGCATTACATTTTGGTGATTTGTGATTGATTCCAGGCTACGAAAGAGGAGGAGGAGAGGAGGATGATCAGGAGGGAGAGGAACAAAATCGCTGCAGCAAAGTGTCGCAACAGACGGAGGGAGCTAATAGACACTCTGCAAGCTGTAAGTATTCTGCTTTATGTGTAAACACACAGAGATCATCACACAGCACGTGCACCTATCCAATGATGCGTTACATGTAACTTCTGATTAAAGATGACTGGAGCACCACAGAGATGACAGCTTGGCCCGGGTTGCAGTGTTAAATGTTTCCCCATTGTCGAGTGTTTATTCATTGTTCTTTCCTCTTCACCTCAGGAAACTGACACGCTTGAAGAGGACAGGTCTGCCCTCCAGACAGAGATAAACGACCTGCTGAAGGAGAAGGAGAGACTGGAGCAGGTCTTAGCCTCCCATAAACCCTCCTGCAAACTCCCTGCGAATGACGAGGAGGATGAGGAGAAGGATGCAGACAATGAGGATGATGACGATAACATAATGCTGCAGGACCCTCCAGCCTCCCCCCAGCTGCTTTCCATCCTAGAGAATGTAAAAGCCACAGAGGGTAACCTGACTGTTGCAGAAGTCCCTATTGTTCAAGAAATGGACAACGTCCCATGCATTCCTGCTGCAGCCATTTTGGGCAACTCCAACATCCTGCTGTGTTCGAGTGCGGAAGAGGCCCTGGAGGACTTACAAGGAGATGACCTGGATGACTTGGTGCCAAGTCTTGAGATGGCAGTGACTTCTGAGATGGCAGCATCAGTCCCTGACATCGACATGAGCGGCCCTTTCTGCCTCTCAGACTGGGAAACCCTGTACAAGTCTGTGGCAAATGACCTTGAATCTTTGAACACACCAGTCATGTCTTCCAGTCCCACTTGTAGCAATTATCGCACAGTGTTTTCCTTTAATTTCTCCGAGATTGATTCCTTGTCTGAAGGCTTTGAGGGCCTCAAAGGCAGCCTGGGTGCATCAGAGTTAATGAAAGATAATCTTAACTCTCCAACACTTCTGGCCCTGTGAATGCAAAGTATTTTATGCAATGATACTGTTATTACATTTTAACCAGCCAGCAAGCTATGTCCCTCACTCTCAAATAATATTATGTGAGTTTTGGTGTTGTAAAACCTAAACATCACAGGTTGTGGTGATGACATGTTTTTGTGGATGTATCAGGGTTGACCTCTTCCATTCTGTTTGTGCAATTCTCTGAGACAAGACTTTTGGCTGGTAACAAAAATGCATGCAAATAAAAGTCATCTGTGTTCCGAGAAGCAGTGGTATCCTATGTTTCAAAAGATCAAAATGTGATGTGAAGTTAGATGAAGCTCAGTAGCCTATAATGTATGTGTTATACTGTTGACAAAGTTGTGTTCTATAGCCAACATGTAAAATTAGCAGGGTAACTAACGTGTAGCGTGTAGGTGTAACATCTTGCTGTAAGGTGTCTCCTAACTGATATTTTCAAAAAAAAAAAACAATGATCATGTTATGTATTTTATCGAGATGTATTTTATGACATAGTTTATTTTTTTACTTATCAAATGCAAAAAAATGGTGTAACGGTGGAAATCAAATAAAAAAACAAAGATGTTCTTGCTTTTGTTGTCATTCTTAAATAAGAATTTGACTGAACACATCATCCCGGGTTATAGAGCTTTCAGTCTCACAAAATATCATCAACACATGTGTTATGCTCAATTCTAGTCAGAGAAAAGCGATATACAAGCTCAAGTCAATTTACTATTTACCAAGTTGTCCTCCTTTTCATATGTTCAAAGTTCCCTTTTTTTGAGCACTTCAAGGGCTTTCTGTCTATATAATGTCTAAAAATGTAACTTCATCTGTGGATGAAGATGCTGTACCCTAAAGGACAGCTCCAAACTGATCTTTAAGTTTCTAGCAGGGGTGACCATTGCCTTATAGCTAAAAAGACCTAAATTGTTCAAAAATAGATTTTTACTATTTCAATTTCATGACCATTTCTGATTTGTCAAAGAAACTAATGAGCCTGAAAATGTATAGCCTGTTAAGTGGATGTCCTTGCTAAGTTTATGTTTTTCCATACCATGATTAATGTGGCTTATTACTTCTGTAGAAATAAATGAAACTCCAAATCAGCTAGGCCTTCATAAATTACTTGATTCCCCTCCTACTTCCTGAGGTCAAGAATCAAAGTGAACTTCAGCCTTATAGACTAAGATTGATTTGTAAAGAGTAAAAAAAAAAAAAAATCCCCATTCAATTCCAAGCTGCAAACAAGGATAATGTAGGATGATATGCTAAGTAACACTTAAATAGAGTCACGACGAGGGTCCCGAACCGTATTATATGCTATAAACATAATTCTATAGCATATGCCTATCTGCATGCTGTCTATAAAGATGTCAGTGTGTCTATTTTTGGAAACAGGATTACATAAAGTGCAACCATCGCGTGAACTGTGTTTAAAATGAGTGGGAGCGGTAGAAACAGCAGCTTAATTATTCATTCATATCTCGTTCTTGGCTCCACTGGTCAAGGGAATCCGAACTTTACACAGCTGCAGTAGGACAGTGCGTGCTGTGCGTGCTGTGCGTGACGTCAACACGCGAACACCAAATACGTCTCACTTCCCCTTTGACCATGTTTGGGAACTGCAGTTGTTTTGTCTCCATGACTACGGCGTGTCATGTTTCGTGGCTTGCGGATGTTACCGGAAAGACTCGGAGCAGGCAGGAGCACGAGCGGGAGCGTAAACACACGAAACCTCTTATCACACCACACAGCGGGTTTTTATTAATTATTTAACAATGCCAAGGTCTTTTCTCGGAACAGCAAACGGGACATTTAAGGAGCACAGGCTGTTTGGTTTCGGTCCTTAACAATAGTCTAGTTTTTCAATTAGACCCATTTAAATGCAGCCATATAGCCTGCAGTGAGTGCACTTAATGTTGGCATAGCTATTCTGCCCCAAAGTATAGGCATTATTTGATTAATTTCTAGAAAACCTTAAGTAGGGCCTAAACGCTTTATAACATAAACAAGTCAATTAGCCTATGTTAGAAGTGCAGTATTATTTTAATCAGTAGGGGGCGCAAGAGAGCGTCTCATTTTATGGGTATTTATGTTATGTCTCGATGCCCTGCTTTTTTTTTTTTAAAGGGATGATTGATGGGCCTGTCAACAGCTCCAATGTCTACTGACTCACTTTCTGTCCACTCCACTTGTTCCACCACGCTTTGTTAGTCCAGCAGTGTGATGCCTGTCACCGTCTGTTTCAAAGTTGTAAATATCACAAAGCTGGAGTTGTTCACAACCAACCATCAAGCAACATTTTAAGCCGAAGGTTATTGGAAGTCAACTGAGGATGAGGTGTTATTTTCCTAAATTTGACCAAGAGAAACATTTTAAAAATCATGCAGCTGTTGAGATACACATTTAAATTCAAGTTGGACTTCATAAGTATTATTAGCATTTTAACCAGTTTAGATTTTTAGAAGGACAAAAATGCAGCAGAATGTCACATGTCAGGGTTTTACAATTGATTAGAAATCTTATTTTATGAGTAGCCTATATGTATTTATTATGTCGTAACAGTAGATATAGCTGGCAATATGGAACTATTTGTCAACATTATACTTATTTTTGAATCTATAACAATGCATCATATTGTAGGCCTAATAACCAATCAATTCAACGAACACAGGTGTCAGAAAAAAGTAGAAAAAATTTAAATACACAATTCCTAATGAACTTTAGTGAAAACAATAAAATAAAAAATACCATATGAAAACCAAATCGGGTGGCCTATATGTTTAGGGCCTAAAAAGGTTTGGTGACCTCACATAACAATACCAATCTTTAGCATAAGCAGAGGTTGAATTGGCATGCAAAAACACGTGTTTTTATTTTTCAGAAGGTTGTGGCTTTTTTTCAGAAACACCTTTAAGTAACACGTTAATAACATGTAACACCAACATTAGTGATTAAAATTTGGGCTTAGTGCTACTATAATGTTACCATTCCCCATTTTGTTATAATTTTGTTTTTATGTGCACCTATAGCCTAATATGAGCTGCACTGTAAAGCAATGGAACGGCCTGCTGTATTTGAACATTTCAAACATGCAGTTGATGTTTAATAGGTGTTTAATGTTGAAGTACTGTTCAGGATTGGTTCCCTACACCAGCACACTGTAATACTGTATGTCTGACATGGATACAGATCTCATTCTTTCCATTATTTGTTATGTGCTCACTATTTCCACCTCTGTTATCTCATCCTCATGCACCTCTTGACCACTGTGTTTCCCTCTGCTGTGATATTCCCAAGGAAGTGTTATATTTACAGGGATAAATCAATGTCATACAGGTTCCTGGAAGACTGGGTCACCTGACTTAAGATCATGTCGTCAATGATACAATAGGAAGAAAAAGATCATGTGATGATTTGGTGTTTTATTTTGAACTTACTTACGCCTGTTTTTCATGACTGTAGCATTAAATAAGAATGTGACATGTATAAATCTAAGAATGTACTTTTTATAGAATTGGACACGTCTGAATACCATTTGTCAACATTAAATCCAAATAACAACGAGAGCTTTTGCTCAAACGGAAACAGGGTCAGTAGGGGAGGAAAGGGACTGAACAGTAATGTTAGCAGATGGCTTGTTATTTAAAGAGGGGGATGTCTTTGAAGAAAGGCTTTCAATTTAGCATAAATAAGCAATTGATGAAAGAGGTGATTGAATTGTTTGGTTCTTTAAATTGAGTATGATTACAATTGAATCCACTAAAACAAACATTTATCTTATCTGTTTTTGTGTTTGATACATCAGAGCATGTTCTCCTGTGTCCTCGTTCATGAAGATTAGAGAAGACGGTTTTGTTATACAGATATATTGGTTTTAGTTGTGACACTGTATTCATGTACACTAGTATTACAATTATGTGTAAACTAATTAAATATAAGATCAGGCATACATTTAGGCCTAATTGCAGACACTACAAAGTGCACTACTGCAGATTTGCACATAAGCTATAATAAAAAAAAAGTTCAATTTGCCCATGAAGCATTGTTGCCAAAAGATGGAAACTTGTGAAATTTCAAATTATTCCCAAACTGTAGAACTTCTGCATACAGTTTTAAATAACTTACCTTAAAACTGTGCATCTGTAAAAATATGCCAGACAATTCTGTGACAAATGTCTGAGATTATTTTGAAAGAGAATAAAGAGGAAGGTATAGGAAGGAAATTAAATGAAACAACAGTAAAAAATAAGTCAAGTCCTTATTGTCTGCAGTACGGCGGATGATGAGTCAGAATTGTGTCTGGTTTGCAGGGTATTTCCCAAAGATGTTTTTTCTATAGTAATGCTGCAAAGCACTTTAACATGATGACCTGCAGATATAAATCTGTTTTTAGTTGGAAGAAATTCAGAGAATTTGTCTTGTTTACATCTTTTTAAATCAGTGTGGATGTTAAGGAGACAATAGTGTACAGTCATTACATTTTCTAAAAAAATAGAATTAATAAACAGGAAAACAAAAATACTTCAATGTGATTTTCTTTATTTTTTTTTTACCTTGAGTGATTGCCACACAGCAAGACGAATTCTGAAGAAATTTCGCAATACTGCAAAACCACAAACTGCTCTCCCTCTCTATTCATTACTCAGGCAGCTGCTGGAAAGTGCATCCAAGATTATCTTTTAATTCAAATACTTTTCATGAGTATCATATAAGTCAAGAATTTAGATCTTCATGTCATTCACAACCTTAAAACAGAGTCAAATGAGCCAAAAGCTTCAATTACTTTGCAGTGTTATATATATTCTTTCACACTGAAAAATCGTTTTTGATACTAAATAATCTAAAAAAAGAACCTTTTAGTTCCTTGAAAAAATTAACATGCTTTGCATACCTGGCCTGCATATTCAGACTGGTATATGTTTATTCAGGGTGCCATTATCAAGGCTTATTGTTCTTGGCAGCCACAGTTCCCTCTTAAAGGCTTAAAGTGCCAAATGAGCGAGCGCCATGTGTGTCCGAGTACTGAGTGACATCTCTGGCTGCCTTCCTGCATTCATGGAGAAATTCAGCTCAAAGTCTAAACCTGCAAGAATAGGGAAAACCTCTGAACTGTGTTGACTATAGATGTTTAGGACCCTCCTGCTTTATGAAATCTGTCTGCTTGTTGGATGAGTTCTGCTTTATTAACCCTAAATTCCTCCCCTGACATTTGTCATCTCTGTGAGGAGCGACTGTGACGCACTGCCCCCCCCTCGACCTCTCCTCAGATACGAACATAAATCACAGCAGAACCAAATTAGAATCTAAAAAAAGGAACAGAGTGGGGTATTTTGGTGAGCCTTTAATAACTCAGCTGCTTGTTCGAGGAGGAACAGTTGAAATGATATTGTGCAAAACCCAACGAGGCCTCAGATCAAAACCTGAGATGTAATAAAAGCTGCACAGGAATGTGAGTTGTTACTGCTTAAGTTGTTCTCCACTTCAATAAAACAAGAACACACTTTTTAATTGCAATTTCAGGGAAACACCTCCAAAACGTTCAGCGTGATTGGTATTGTATTGCAGCTCTGTTTTGACT